GTTTAGATCTGAGCAGACCCAAATCCATCGACTCGCCAACAGATCAGAACCTCCAGCCAATCACAGGCCGGCTCGGCGGGAGGGAAGATGTTGGTCTGACAGCGACTCGGACGAGGAGCTCCGCAGGCTGGTGGCGGCTGAGCAGACGTCCCATGATGCACTGCAGCAGGAGGTGCAGGACGATAGCCTGGAGGTGGTGGGAGTCGACTTCCTGGTCAGATCAAAACAAAAAGGTAACCGGTCCGGTCCGGTTTTCAAATCGATCCTGTCTGTGACCAAACTCCAAGTTTATCTTTGTGATTTCAGACGAGGAAGACGAGGAAGACTACGACTCTGCCGACACAGATGAACTGTTCGCATCCAGAAGAAAACCTGCAGAGAAACTTCCTGCTGGAAGCATCGAACACGTTTCAACAGACTGTAGAGAGGAGGAGGAGGAGGAGGAGGAGGAGGGAGGACCTTCATCCTCTCAGCAGAGCGATGGTGATGAAGAAGTAGCATCCTCTTCCTCTGCAGACTCAGATTACGACGCCATGTTTTCTAACGCCACCCGTCTGGAGATCTCCCTGGAGGATTTACAGACGCTGGCTGAGACCGCAGCTCCCAGAATCCCCGGCTCCGCCTCCGAACCAGACGCCGACGCCTCCTCGGGCCCCGCGGAGCGAGCGGCGCCCAAGAAGGGAATCACACCCGAGGAGATCCTGGCCTCCCTCCTGAAGGAGCACAGCAAGGAGGACGAAGAGCAGCCGAGGAGGAAGAGGAGGGGCATCACGCTGCCTGCCTTCATGGGGACCAAGTCACTGATGGGAGACGGGGAGGAGGAGGAGGGAGGAGGAGGTGCTAAAAAACAGACACCGAATTCTGAATCTCAACAGGGGGAGGAGGAGGTGAAGAAGATGCTGTCTTCTAAAGCTGCAAAAACTCATCTTCATAAAGTTCTCCTCAGTCCACAGACTGGATCTTCCTCTGGCAGTGATGATGAGGAGGTGGAGGAAGAAGAGGAGGAGGAGGTGGAGGTGGAGGAAGAAGAGGAGGAGGAAAAATCCAGTCAGACTGTTCGTAACAACAGATCCTCAGCAGAGGATCAGCCTTCATCCAGCAGTTGCTCTGAGGAAGAGGAGCAGCAGGTCAGTCTGGCTCCTCACAGCGAGGAGGAGGAGGAGCATCAGGCTCCTCCCCGGGTGGCGTTGGGAGCAGAGGAGGAGGAAGAGCTGCAGAGGAAGGCCAACATGAGGAGGCTGGCTGCTCTCCAGCAGAGACAGAAGGAAGCTGAAGAACACAGGAAGTTGATCCGGGGCGCTCTGTCCAACCTGGTGGGTGAAGGGCTTTTATTTTGTAAACACTTCCTGTTTCAGTCCTGATCAGATGTGACGAAGCTTTGATCTTCTTCAGGACGCTCCAGCTCCGAGTGCAGGGAAACACATCGTCTTCGGCTCTGATGATGATGATGATGAGGAGGAGGTTTCAAAAAGGAGTCTGCTCCAGGACGGCCAATCAGAGAAGGATGTGGGCGGGGCTACAGCCAATCAGGAGGCGAGTGATGATCAGCTGTTGGTCATGTTTATGTTGTTTTGTTTCTCGTGGAGCAGCTGAAGGTAAACTCTGCGTTTTCAGGTTCGGCTGAAACCTTCGGCTCCTCGGCTGTTTGCCGACAGTGAGGATGAGGAGGAGGAGGGTGATGAAGAGGAGGACGGCAGCAGGTTCAACATCAGGCCTGAGTTTGAAGGTCGTGCAGGACAGAAGGTAAAAACAAAGAGTTTTATTATTTATTTACTTACTTACTTATTTGTTTATTTACTTATTTATTTATTTACTTATTGGACACAAGCTAAAAGCTAAAGGGTTAGCTAAAAGCTGCTGCTGTTTGTTTCTCCAGCTGATGGCGCTCCAGTCTCGCTTCGGAACAGACGAGCGGTTCCGGATGGATTCCCGTTTCCTGGAAGATGAAGAAGAGGAGGAGGAGGAGGGTGGAGCAGCAGGTTAGGATGGATGTTTCCAGACAATCAGCAGCCGAATGATGTTTTCAGCTAATTTGATCACATTTTAGCTGCTTTTAAAGGTTTTTAAACTGTGCAACCTCACCGTGCTGAAGCAGAATCGTGTTTGTTTCTCAGAGGTGAAGACGAGCCCGGTGGAGGAAGAGGAGGCTCTGGAGGAGGAGAAGAAGAAGAACCTCTCCATCCTGCACAGCATCCTCGGAAGCAGCCGACAAACCGGCAGCAAGACGGCGAGCAAAGCTAAAAAATTCAGGTCGGCCGAATCGCGGCTTCTCCTCGACCCAAACCTGAAAGTGTCAAAGAGCTAAAAGAGTAAATAAATAAAAACATTTGTTTGTTTCAGAGACGTGTCGTCGCTTCATTACGACCCGAGCCGAGAGGAACACGCTGCGTTCGAGGTCAAACCTGAAGAAAGCAAGAAGGACAGGTAGAAACCAATCTGACTGCAGGAGATAGCACCTGCAGCTTTCAGCTGGAATATAAGGAACTGAAACTCAGCTGCTGAAGGAAGCAGAACGCTAGCTAAAAGCTAAAAGTAGCAAAAGGCTAAAGACAAAATGAAAAAAACAGTACCGCTCTTATTTTGTTAGCCTCTGATGACAGCAGAGCTAACTTCCTGTGGCCACGACTGGAACATGTATGAAGTGAAGTGAGGTTTGATTGCATGTTCTTATGAAAACGTGAACAGACTCATCTTTGTTTGTTTGTTTGTTTGTTTACAGTAAGTCAGCCAGGAGGAAGAAGAGGGAGGAAGCTCAGAAGCTTCCTGACGTTTCTAAAGAGATTTATTACGACGTGTCCGGAGACCTGAAGGCCGTCTTCAGTCAGGCGAAGGACGACGTCACCGAAGAAGAAGAAGAAGAAAAGGCTGAGTGGAATCAGCTGGAGGAAGAGGAGGGAGGAGGGGAGGAAGAGCAGCTCCTCTCAGCTGATCGCAGCACAGAGAAACAAGAGTCGACCGGATTTAAGTTTTCCTTCTTCGGAGACGAGACGGAGACAGGAAGTGGAGAGACGAGTGAGTGAAACATGTAGAACCTTTCTTCAGCTGTTTTTAAATCAGAACCTTTCTTCAGCTGTTTTTAAATCAGAACCTTACTTCAGCTGTTTATAAATCAGAACCTTTCTTCAGCTGTTTTTAAATCAGAACCTTACTTCATCTGTTTATAAATCAGAACCTTTCTTCAGCTGTTTTTAAATCAGAACGTTTCTTCAGCTGTTTTTAAATCAGAACGTTTCTTCAGCTGTTTATAAATCAGAACATTTCTTCAGCTGTTTTTAAATAAGAACCTTTCTTCAGCTGTTTATAAATCAGAACATTTCTTCAGCTGTTTTTAAATCAGAACGTTTCTTCAGCTGTTTTTAAATCAGAACATTTCTTCAGCTGTTTTTAAATCAGAACCTTTCTTCGGCTGTTTTTAAATCAGAACATTTCTTCGGCTGTTTATAAATCAGAACCTTACTTCAGCTGTTTATAAATCAGAACCTTTCTTCAGCTGTTTTTAAATCAGAACATTTCTTCAGCTGTTTTTAAATCAGAACCTTTCTTCGGCTGTTTTTAAATCAGAACATTTCTTCGGCTGTTTTTAAATCAGAACGTTTCGTTTCTTCAGCTGTTTTTAAATCAGAACCTTTCTTCAGCTGTTTATAAATCAGA